CAACTGGCTTTTGTTGCAGAAGCTGTTATAATCATAAGGCTCTAATGAGCATGGTTACTGGATATGAATCATAACCCTTGTCATATTCAGATGAGTAAGAAACTAATGCCATTACCACAAGGAAGTCATGTGGAAGGATGTAACTAACAGACAGGAAATCTGACTTCAGATCTTTTTCCTAGAATTCCACAACCACATAGCATCACTGACTACTACTGTTAGTTCTTAAAGGTAACCCGGTTCCACTGCTAACCAGATAGAAGACCTCGGACAGAATTTTTAACTGTGGACTTAACTGTAAATGGGCATAGTGATTCGTGAAAGGGTGAGAGTTGAACCATTTTCTCTACTGAGGCTGCTTTCAACATGAAAGCCTATGCTTATGTGGCACTTGATACTATTGACGCGTCTTAAAGCCTCAGCTGTACATCAAATGGATAACGGAGACAAACTTAAGAAGCATGTTTCAGCTGCTTATGTGAATGATGAGTAAAACTGAAATTTTCAAATTGAAATATAATAAATGTCAATTTTGCCCAACTTTTCATGAGATACTTGGATCCTGCTTAAAAGGAAATAACCTTAGGACCAAACATAGTGAATTCCCCTATTCATTTTAGCAAAGTTTGGCGAGTATTTCTGACAGCTAACTAAATCTTTGCCACTCTGCTAGCTGTTCTCTCAAAGAAGAAATAGAAGGTCCCTGCTCTTGAGACCTCTGTGGACTTGGGAATGCGGAAGATGCATATTCCTGCATCCCTTGTGGGTGTCGCGCATCAAGGACAGGGTGAGAGTCAGGGGCGGGCCTGGGGTGGGATGAAAGTTATCCGGGAAGGAGTAAAGAGTTGGGGGGGGGGGGCTGGACCAAAGCTGCAGGAGCAGGGCCTTTCTTGCAGTTAGACTGTGTATTCAAAATGCAGGGCTGAGAACCACATCCTGCGCTCAGGGGCCCACTGTTCTGTAGCCCAGTAAAAACTCCTTCCAAAGGCAGTCACGAACTGAGAGTGATTCCAGAGAAGTGAGAGAGCTAGAGGGAGTTTTCCTTTTCTTTCTTTTTTCTTTCAGTCTTTTTGAGACAGGGTCTCTCTATGTAGTTCAGGCTGGTCTTGAGCTCCCTCTGAAGCCCAGACTGGCCTTGAACTTGCAAAAATCCTTCTGCCTCAGCCTCCTGAGTGCTGGGATTACAGGCTTGCACCACCCCGCCTGGCATAGGGAGTTTTTCTATAACTGTAGAAACTCAAACATTTAAAAATTTTTTCAGGAAAGATAACTCCAACATATATCACAGGGATGGAATCTCAGCAAAGTAAATATAAGGCACCATAAATGGAGTAGAGACTCCTTACCTGAAATAATAAGTGACATTTATTTAGAGATTGCTAGATGCCAGATGTCTCAAGGTTTACACAGGTTGTTGACTTGCTCCCGTATATCACAATCTGTGAGGTAGATTCTGTTACCAGTGTGTGCTAGAGAACTCTGCTAGTAAGGTCTCCTCCATCCTCCACCATTCCCCTTTTCTGCAGTACCCGAAAAACTCTGTATTTTACTTATCTGCTATTTTTTTTTGAGTTGTCTCTCTCCTTCTTGTAGAATGGATATTCCTTAAAGGCAGGGAATTTATTTTTTGTTTATGTTGTATTTCCAGCACTCAGAAAACATAAGAAAATAGGAGCTCAATAAATATTAGGAGGGGCTGGGGATTTAGCTCAGCGGCTAAAAGCGCCTGCCTGGCAAGCGCAAGGTCGTGAGTTCGGTTCCCGGTACCGGAGAAAAACCAAAAAAAAAAAAAAAAAAAATAAATAAATAAATAAATAAATATTAGGAAATGAACAAATAATAGAAACAACTTGAACTAAATAATAGAAATAACTTGAATTAAAGCAAATAGCCTGGTAGTAGCAGAGCCTGGAGCAGTCACGTGAGTAGGTAAAAGAGATTTGCCATAAGATTCTGGCCACACAGAAAGGTATGGCAGAACTGAGGGCTGAGAGACTAGACCAGTGATGGTGAACATTTTAGAGCTTTCTGTGATATAAATAGTCTGCTGTACCACACATGCACCTCAGACTAGACCATCAGCTTAAAATCATATTGACTCACTTATTCATTCAACTATTCAACAATGCTCATTGAGCAGCTATTATGTTCCAGGCATTGTTCCAGGGAATGGGGAAACACTAGCGGACTTACTGCACTCAGTGGGAGGGAGGAAAGACAGACAACAGAAAAGGAAGCAAGGGAGCACCTAGAATAACTTTAGGGGATGATAAATGCTGTGACCATAATAGAACACAGTGATGGAAAGTAACCTGAGAGGGAGCAGAGCACCACCAGATCGGTCTGCAGAAAGGGTATCTTTGGGAAGCTGACATGATTTTTTTTTTTTTCTTTTTCTGGTACCGGGAATCGAACTCATGACCTTGCGCTTGCCAGGCAGGTGCTGTACCGCTGAGCTGTATCCCCAGCCCCAGCTGATACGATTGAGTAGCGTTTATCCAAAATACTTGGGATCAGGAGTGTTGAAATTTTGAATTTTTAAAAACTTTGCAATATTTCCATATGCATAATGAGATATCTTGGGACCCAAGTCTACACATAAAGTTCACCTATTCCCTACACACATAGCATGAAGGTAAATTTACACAATATTTTCAGCACACCTGTGTTTTGACTGCACTCTATCCCATGAGATAAGGTGTGAAATTTTCCATTTGTAGCATCACATCAGTGCTCAAGGGTTTTGGATTTCTACGTGTTTCAGATTTCAGATTTTTAGATTAGGGATGCTCAACTTGGATGTGAACAGAATTCTGAAGGATAGCACTTCAGGAGAAGATAATGCTCAGAACAGGCAGAAGGCAAGAGGCAGCGGTGGACGTAAGACCAGGGCCAGGCTTGGGAAGTGAATCAAAACCCGGAAAGTGTCTGTGGGAATGGCAGTTCCTACACAGGAAACAGAGTACCTGGGACAGGAGAAAGACCAGGATCATCTCCCTGGCCAGGTCTGGCTGAGACCATAGCCTAGTGTCAAAGAAACTGTCCAGAAAAACACACTTGGTCTTAAACCAGGAGCCTAACTGGAAAGGTCCCTGCCTCTGCTAAGGTTAGGCGATCAGTTGTGGGACAGAAGCAAAGGGTGCTGAAGAGCAGGACGGCAGATGGGCAAGGAGAAGGGACTCCTTACTGCAGGAGAATTTTGTCAGTTCACGTCCAAAATACCTTATGCCCAATTTAAAACTGCAATGTGTCCACCCAGTTTGTGATCCCACCATGTTGGTGGGAACTGAGGATACTCTGAGGGGGCACTTGGTCTCAGAAAGTATCTAATACAAATAATACTTACCCGGCTGTGATCCCTAAGCTTAGAGAGCAAATGACTCACTTAGAGAACGTTCGTAAAAGATGCAGACTGCTGGACCTCACCTAGAAATTCCTATTTATTGTATCAAAAGTGAGATCCCAAATCTGTGTGTGTGTGGTTTAAGTGGCCCCTAGGTAGGCCATACCTACAGAAATGTGAAGAGATCCACCAATGGGCTACAGTGAGTCTGCGAACCCCTAAAAGATGGTGAAAACTGCGTTTGACTGGATATATATACAGTTCTTTCCCTGGAAAGAGGGTCAATATTGCAAGATTCTCAAAAACTTGTTAAGAATCGCTTAACAAGGGGTTAGTGGCCTGTCATCCAGTCCTGCCCTTGTCTTAGGGGCCAAGAAGCAGTCCTGGAATGTGATTTGCCTGAGTTCATGAGCTGAAACAGTAGAGCTGGCATCTCAGGCCAGAATTTCTCCTTCTGAGCCCCTCGCTCTCTCTTTCTGCCCTGCTGGCTGCAGGGGCTGGGGGGAGAGGAAGGAAGGGGTCTGATAACAGCCTCCTCCCTGACTGCTTTCATTTTCCCTCACTTTACAACCTGTCTTGGTGAGAGGGCCCCTCCCGTTGTGGTCCCTTCTGGCCACACTCTGCTCCCCCTCATCCTGCTGGCTGGAGCAACCCGTTTTTCAAGGGTTAAATTTATTTGGGGTTCAGTTTCTCCTTTTGCAATGCAACCACAGAGGAAATGAGTCTCCCACCTCGGCTCTGCCTTTATGAGGGGAGCCTGGGGAATGCCGGCTCAGGCCTGGCAGCGTGGACCACCTCTCCTCCGTGCGCTGCTCAGTGGGCTGCGACTCTCTTACTCAGTCCCCATTCTCTAAAACTTGTTTCCCCTCTTGATTTACAAAGTCACTTGCTTTTCCCTTTTTTCTTCCTTCCATCTCCTCCTTTTCCTTTTCTTCTTTTGCCTCCTTCTTTTATCCTTGCAGAATATGGTGGCTTTTGTTGGCCATTCCTGGCATTGCTCTGTCGGACAACAACACTCAAGAATGAGAGAGTGCTAGAGTCCGTTGGGTTGCCTGATGCCCTTTTCGCGTGGCGCAGATTTCTTTTGAGGTCAGGCGTCCAGGAAAGCTGGGCATCGGCTCCGCCCGCAGAGCTTACTGCAGGCAGAGCAACGAAGTCTGCTCTGCGATTTTCCCAGCAGCCTCTTCAAATCCATGGGTGACAATTTGGACACCTTGTCTTTAACAAACAAGGAAATGAACTCAGGGTGGAGGAAACTTGCCCCAGGTCATGAATTAAATCAGTGCCGCGGTAGCAGTGAGCACACAGCCTTAGACTGGAAGCTGTCCAGAAAGAGGGTCACAGCCATCTGGCTTTGGAAGTCTCACCCAGGGCGGTCCCACTGCTGACACTTGGCAGTTACTGGAAAGTCGTGTCGATTTTCCTGTTGATTCTTTATCCTGAGAAGGAATTGTGAATTCCTCGTGGAGGATTGATCATTTTTCTTTGTTGTCTGTGACTGAGGCTGTTTCTCATGTCCTGCCCCTGGTTTCGCTTGTCCCAGGGACTGCATTTGAAGGGCGGGGCACCCCCACATCCCTCCACCCCAGTCGGAGCGGAGCCGCAGTCAGGACCAATGAAAGCAAAGTACCTCACCCACCAAGTGACTAAGAGCTCTCCATATTTAAGAGGGAGCAGGAATAGGCTGAGAGTTGCTTCTGCTTTCTCCACAGACGGGCACACTCTCATCTGAGTTGGGGTGTCACGGAGCTGAAGAGAGAGAGGTGGGGAAAACCTTACCGGCTCCCACCACCACCATGTGCTATGGCAAATGCGCACGCTGCATCGGACACTCTCTGGTGTGGCTCGCTGTCCTCTGCGTTGTAGCTAATATTTTGCTTTACTTTCCCAATGGGGAAACAAAGTATGCATCTGAAAACAACCTCAGCCGCTTTGTATGGTTCTTCGGTGGTATCGGAGGAGGAGGCTTGCTAGTAAGTCATTCAGAATTATCACAACTTTTAAGAATTCTCTCCTGATAACTAGAAGTTGTCATTTCCATGGAAAGTTTTCTGGGATGCATATTTCCAAGTCCAGAGGTTTTTGTTGCTGTTCATTGTTTTGGAGGCAGATTATGTAAAGGCTGTGATGACTTTTTATTAATTTCATTAGATATTGTTTTACAAAATCCTCTGGACTAAAAGTGTGCTAACTCTCTTACTTTACAGCTAGAAAATAGATACTTTAAACAAGATTTGAGACTATCAAGTTTCTAGGACTGTAGTGGGTAGTCATTTAATATTTGGTCTTGGGAGCTGGGAGGGTTCGGCTGGTTCTAAATCAACAGTTTTGGATTAAAATTATCTGCTGTTTATTCACAGACATCTGTGACATTAAAAAAAAATAAACTGAGTACATTGCTATTTACAAAGAATGCGGCATTCTCCTGGGTGATGTAGCTAGGAAAATCTCACAGGTAGCAGGGGATCAGTGTCCGAAGTTAACTGTGGAATGTGTTGTGTTTTCCAAGGTTTGTTTTTAATTGAAGTGAGAGGAATTTGCTTGCCACACTGGGAGCTGAAAGTATTAGCTTCAACTTCAGCATGGAAAGAATGTGGAAATTTGAGTTTGGTAGTTGAAAATATGGGGTGAAGAATTTTAAAGAGAAATTTTATGGAAGTATTAGTATCATACAGAATATTTTTTCTTGGTAAATTACAAAATATTAAAACATTTAAATCTAATACTATATATTAGCTATGGCATAGTAAATCTGTTTGAATTTCAACATTACTATCATGTTAACATAATCATTAATACAAACATAACTAATATAAATTAATGTAATATAATCTTTAACATAACATTGCCCTTGTTTAAGAGTCTGTTGACTTTAAACTAAGTATTTCACACTTACATTGCTTAAAGAGGTTTATTGTCATGCTAAAACAGTACATTTGTAGCTTCAAGTCAATTTCATTTCTTATAGACAGATTTAATCCTTCCCACTTAAAAATATTCAGTCTATTTATTTATTTACTTTTATTTTAAAGAGAATGGTAAAAGAAAGAAAGAAAAACAAGAACAATAGCAGCATACCAACATCGTAAACATAAAGCAAGAACATTAAAAGTGATACAGTGTTTTGAAACAAAATGATAGGAATTAACAGTGGTTGTTATGTTACATATTGTTATCTTCGTTGCTCAGACTACCTACCAGATGTAATCAGTTAGTCTATTTAAGTCAGATTTAAAGACCGCAGGTAGTAGTTCCAGGGGAGAGTTTAGTTTGCACCTGGAACATTGTTATGCCCTTATGTGGAATAAACACATTTATAAGTTATTATTTTACTCTTCCCACTGTGTATCCTCACCTTGGAGAATACTTAACGTACCGTGTGAAAACAAGCAGTTATTGCAGTTTTTTTAGAGTTTTCTTTTTCCTCTTTAGACTTTCACATTCTTTGAAATATTTGGTCAACCTGATCAAAATCAGTCAACACCATCAGAGGGAAAAATATTTTACCAAAGGCTGCTTAACCTGACCCAGGTGACCCTGGGGAAGGATAATGATTTTAATTTGCTCGCTTCCCAACCAGATGCTCCTGCCCGCGTTCGCATTCATTGGGCTGGAGGAGGAGGACTGTTGCGGCTGCTGCAGCCATGACAACTGTGGCAAGAGATGTGCGGTGAGTCCCGCTGCCCGGGGACACAACCCAGCTCCCAGAGGCAGCCGTGGGATGCTTCAGCCCACTTTCGTTTCTCCCTTCTCTAGATGCTTTCTTCTATACTGGCTGCCCTTATTGGAATCTCAGCATCTGGCTACTGTGTCATCGTGGCATCTCTGGGCTTAGCAGAAGGACCGTGGTGTCTGGATTCTTTCGGCCAGTGGAACTATACTCTAGCCGGAACTGAAGGACAGTATGTAATTGTTCTATATCTGGATCACTTCGCCATCCATCACACATGTATAGTGGCAACCCCATTAAACTAGGTGGTCCATTCACCCATCCACTCAAGCCAGCGTTTCATGCAGGTTAGGCACTAGGTGTCCGAGGATAGGTGGCTAATTCTTGACTGGGCAAATTCTAAGTGCTTCTTAATAGCTCTACTGATTCTGTCTCCATAATAACCCTCTGAAGTTGCTTCCACTCTTACTCCTATTTTATAGATGAGAAAAGGAAAGCCCAAAAAGATGACCTAATTTAACCCAGGTCAGTTATTTGAACCCAGGCAGTTTGCATACAGTGTTTGTACTCACATAGCATGTATGTTATGCTGGAACAACTGGTTGATTAAATGTAATACACTTTATCAGAAAATATTATAGATCCTTATATAACAAGAATGGCAGCTATATGAATTTAATCAAAACCCAGAACAAATCATACACCCACCATCATACACATACCTGTTCATATATAACATCAGAATTATGTACAACACACCATTTATTTTAAATTAGTAGGGTAGAGAAGACAGGTCTTATCACAACTTTAATATCAGGACAGATCAAGAGATTCCATTGTTTTATGCTGACATTTACGTTTAATAAAGCATGAAGAAAGGAACAAAAACAGGAAAGCTGATGGAAACCGATGTATGTGGAAATAAATGAATTACATAGTCCTTTAGCAACAGTTGTTTCTAAGTTTACTTTTTCCTAATTCAGCTTTTAAAGTTGAATTTTGAAAGATTCAGTTTTGAGATTCATGAGTGAAAAGAATATTATAATGAATTTGAATTACTCTTATATTATTGAGTATTTGCCTCTATGAATTGTATAGCACACAGTGAGGTTAGATAAACACACACACACACACACACACACACACACACAATTTCTTCCTCCACGAAATATTGAATTTGGGATTAGACATCAGTTCAATCTAAGTTTTGCACTTTCTCTCTGAGTACAGGAAAAAGTGAACGTACCTCTCTGCATTTTTGGTCCTTCATCCGTACAATAGCAAAGGCAGTTGTCATGACAGTTAATGAGATACATGCAGTGCTTCTGTAGAGGCCAACTCACTGTGAACACTGCCGCTGTTAGGTGTTAATGTTACCTACTTGGTGAGGATGAACATAACACAATGGTCACTCTGAAGGAAAACTGACACTGCAGGAGTTTAAAGTTTTAGTGTTAAGAATGGTCAGTACTGAATATACGATCGCAAAATGGTTATTCATGTATGCACAAACACACAAAACTATTGCCTGACTCTGCCTCTTTCAAAGGTCATAATTTATGCACCCAGAACGCGAGGAGTTGTATCACTAAACATTTTTAGTAGCTACCTGTATGCCTCTCCCATTATCTGCTCTAGCTTTGTAAGAAACCTTCGTCTCCCTCTCTATCACCTGCATTTGGATTTGTCTGGTGATTTCAAGACAGGATTAACTCTCAGTTCCGAGTCACTGAGTAGTTGGCCAATAATCACATGGAGCCAAATAATTTTCTGACACTGTGATCTGAAAGTACACGGATTTTTGCTCCAATGACATGCAGAGGGCCAGGTCTGGATGGAGAGAAAGTTTAAAAGAAAATTTAGCCATAAGAATGAATCTCTGTTTGGCTTAATGAACTCTTTCAAAGTTAGGGCTCTAATTCCAAGTCCCTTTGTTCTGCTCAGGCAAGAAGAAGTGATAAGAAAAGGATTATACTGGGCCTCTTTGTGGAGTTAAATCAATCCTAGATTTTCCCACATGATTAAAGCCTATTTCATTAAGAATCAAATAGTAAAAAAGAAAGAAAGAGGAGAGAGAAAAAAAGAGAGGAAAGTAGGAGGGAGACTATTAGAGAAGAGAAAGGGGATCAGGGAGAGAAGGGACAGGCACAGGGTAACCGGAAAATAAAAGTAATCAAAGTATGTTACATGCGTGTGCAAATGTGCCAGATGAAACCCACTGCTCTGCATAACTAATACATACTAATAAAATTTTTAAAATAGGAGGGTGCTCCAAAGGCTGAAGTTTTAGGAAAGTAATCAGGGTAGTTTTTTCAGACAAGAAGGATATCCATATATTTAGAAATTGTCTTAAGCCATATGCATATGAAGTCAGGCATGATCTCATCAGGGTTTGTTAACATTTCAAAGTGGTTTCAGGTTGTTATTTATCATTCAATTACTTTGAAAATGTGTTCAGTACTTACTGTATGCCAGATACTCTTCAGTGGCAAAGATGGTAAGTCTAGTTCCTACCTTCGTGGAGGAGAGCCTTGCAGAATAGACATAGCCAGGCATTCGCTCTGGACTAGGTTAGGTGCCCTTTCCACACCTGTTGATTATCTATTACTTGTTGCCTCCCTAACATGCTCTGTCTTTCTGAGGCAGAGCCTGTGCCTAGTTCACCATTCTGTCCCCAGCTCTGACTCCACGTGCCTTTCATGCAGAGTGCTGAGTAATCTTTGTTGAGTGAGTGAATATCATGGGCTTCATGCTGCTATGGATGCGTGGATACATCATAAAAGTAAAGAAGTATCAAATTAATTGGATTTAATCCCTTTGCTTCTTGTTGCAAAATAACTCATTCCCTAACACCAAAAAAATGATTTGTTTGAAAGGTCTCAGTTGAAAACTCTAGCATATTAAATCTCCACACTTGGCAGAATTTGGATAATTTTCAAAAAGAATAAATTATATTTTAATGAAATGGTCTAAAGTTACAAAAACTAATACAAGGTAGTTGTAGTTTTTAAATAGACAGTCACTCAGTATTGGCTACAAAGTCCTACCTTTCACACAGATAACAATTAAGCAGCAATAAATTTGGGAAACCAAGTAGAAAATTCTCTATAATTCTGCTATCTTAATGCATAATTTGATTTCACTTTTCCACATATACTCTTAGTTCACGTCCCCACACATACATGAATTTTACCTTCAATGTGGCACAAATGTAGTTTGCACTTTTTTTTTATCTATAGTAATTTATATGTCTCTAGAGAGTATAAACATCATTCTAGGGTGAGGATTTTTAACTACAGAATCCTATTTCTAGGAGTCAAAAGTTTTAAGATTTTTGTTTTAGTTTTTGTTTTTGAGACAGTGTCCCACTATGTAATTCAGGATGGCCTTGAACTCACTCTGTAGTCTAGGTTGGCCTAGAACTCACAGGGATCCTCCTGTCTCAGCCGCCTGAGTGCTGGTATTGTAGGTATGTTGGTTACCATGCCCTGCTTAAAGTGCTAAGTTAATTTCATGTTTATCACTATAATGAAATCTGAGTTAAATTTCTCCATTGGATGGCGTGTTATATGAGACTCTAACAGAGGTTATTAAATTAATTAACCTCCTTCATTTCTGAATAAAAATCACCACACCAAAAGGTAGCTTATGAAATATCCCATCAGGAGGGTCATGTGAGAAGTCACTCTTTGTGTCCACAGGTATCTTCTGGATAGCTCCACATGGTCCCAGTGCAAGGAACCCAAGCACATCGTAGAGTGGAACGTAACTCTGTTTTCTCTCCTCTTGGCTCTTGGTGGAATTGAATTCATCTTGTGTCTCATTCAAGTAATAAATGGATTGCTTGGAGGCATTTGTGGCTACTGCTGCTCTCGCCAGCAGGTAAGAACCTGTGTGAAAATGCCCTGTGCTGGCCCTGGTATTTCAGTTATCCTAATGCACCATTCTTTTCATCAAAGAGAAAAAGGCAAAACCAAACATGCTCAAACTGGCAACATTTGTTCTTCCATCATCTCCGTGGTGATGCATTCATAGCACTCACTTTTGCTCTCAGTAATAAGCTTGCTTGCGTCTCACCATCACCAGTTATCTTGGTTCTTTGCAGTTGGCTGTCTGTGCAAAGAAACATGCTGCATATGACACTTTCAAGGTGAACCACTACCCTTCTCTGGTTACAGAGACACACAAGAGATGTCGAAGATGTCTTCTCGTTTACCTACTCTCTTGTTCCTAACATACAAATAATAGTTAATTACATTAATTGCACCTGACACTATATTAAACTCATTTTTCAGATAGCACTATGATTCAGAAATTAAGTAGTTATGCGTAAGATCCCCTCATCAGGAAGTAACAGGCTTTAATAACAAAGCTCTTAGTCTTAACCTGTATGCTACACTGCTGATCTGTTGCATTTTCTACAGTTCCTTCCTAATAAGGAGTCAAAAAATGTCCATGCAGCCAGGCATGGAGGGGCATTAGTAGCCTTTGAATAGCAGATATGTAAAGCTTTCTGGTGCAAAAGAAAACCAGGATGCACTTGTTTCCTGAGGAAATGATTTAGGAGAGAAAAATGCATTTGTGCATAGCAGGGAAAGTTCTTTCTTCTTTATCTTCCTAAAAGATATATATTATTGAATTGATGGAAGTCCAGCTTTGGTCCAGTTTTGGGAAGTGGTTTGTTTTTTGTCTTATTTTGTAAAACATGATTAGGCAAACAGAAACTTGTTCATTTGTACTTACCAAATCATTTATTCCTCTGGTTCAGGTCTTTTACTTTTCTTTGAAATGAGACAAAAACCAAATGGAAACTAAAAGTCTATCGCTATCATGAAAAACTTTGCTGTAAATAAATAGAAACTTTCTATAATATTCGAGGGGAAGTTAATATAGTCTCCTTATCAGGCAAGTACAGCAAGATTAATAATTTCTTTGGGATGCTGCCAAATTTCCAAGAAAACAGCGGGTGGGAAACCTTCAGCGTGGAGTTGTTTTCAGGCAACATATTTAGGGAGAGGCAGAGAAGAATTCTCTCAGGATTACTGAACACAACCTATATTTAGCCTTCAAATTCATATCGGGCAGAGCTTAAACTCAGCCGGTCATTTCTGGGGACAGACAGAACAAGTCAATGTCCAGAACCACTGCAGTGATTTGGCAGGGAATGACACCTCTCACGGCTTGGGGAGCAGATACACTACTTTCCCATCCTAGTCTTTGTAGGGATAGCATTTCCCAGATATGGGAAGCTTTGTTTGCTCTGTTTAGAGGACAGAAGACACTTTCAAAGAGCAGGACTTTTGAGTGTAGGGCAATAGGTTGCTGGCTCCACAATGCTTCATTTGAAAGTTTACCTGCCCTGAGCCACACAGGGTAAAACTCTCAAGGCATTATCTTCTAAATCCCCGCGATTAAAACCCCAGGCAAACACACTCAAAGCCAAACCTGCACCAGTACCTTGCAGCTTTTGCTGGGGAGGACAGTGGCTCGAGTTTGTTTAGAAAACATTTTGTAAGCATTGTCTAAGCCCTGAGTGTGGCTGCCTAAAGCTCTGCTAAAGTGAAAGCTGTGTTTGCTCAAACCAGAATGGAAAGGACAGAAATGCTACCATTTCCTTATCCTGATTGTAACTAACGCACATTTCATTTTCTTTACAGCAATATGACTGCTGAAAGAACCACGTGAAGACAGAACCATAAGCTTCCTCTATTTCATTGTAATTTATATATTGTACTTGTATTATTGTAAAACTTTGTTCTAGTGTATCATACTCCTCAAATTCTACTTTTATAAAAGTGTATAAAGACTGACATTTTCACATGATGTCAGTGTTTGAACTTAGCAAACAAACTTTTTTTTTTAGGAATGAGAAAACCTGAGTACTGGAGGTAATTTAAGACTGACAGTCCTCAGCTTGTCTGAGATAAACTTTGTAATATTTAGGATAAGAATCCCATTCCAATTACACTTGTATATACGTGTATGTGTTTTGAAGGAAAGATGTCTAGTAGCTTTTAAGAAGACAGAAACCCAACAACCTGAAAAGATGTTGTTTATCACTGTTTATATGGTGTTTCCCATTTATATGCCTGTGCCCCTCTAACCAGAGGCCTTTTGAACTTTTTTAGTTCTGTGTGACATGAACTCTTGCCTGGGTTTGGAGGCCTAATTGAAAATACTCCATGCCAAATGAAGGAGTCAAAACATGCAACACTGCAAGTTGCCGTGAGTCCCACCAGATCTTAATTTTTTAAAAAATTAGGAAAACTTCTGGTTTTTCAAAAAAGGACCAAATGTTTAAACAGGAAAACTGGGCAAGAGGAAAGATGGGAAATGGACTAGAGCAGATATCAACATCGTGGGAGACGGGAGGGGGAGTAGGGGTGGAAAGACCACAAGGACCTTTCCCCAAACTTGATCACGGACCACAAAATAAAGTATTCAGTACCATTTCGCTGTTGTTTGATTTTGTGATCCTTGGTGCAGAGTTCCTCCTCTTTGCCTCTGATTGTCTGCAGTCCGTGTAGCCCCTTTTGCTAAGGGCTTCCTGTCTTCTGGTTTCTTCATCTCACTTTCTCTCCCTCATCAGCTGCCTTCCTCTGCTCTCTGTAAGCTGTTGGTGCTGAATGATCCCTTGGGGTTATTGTCAGTTAAGTAACTTATTTCTCTGGAATACTCTCAGCATCAGACTCCTGCGGGGAAGGACACAGATGTTTTCTTTCTTCTTGTACAGAGTTAGGTTTTAAAGGGGAAAGACGCCTCACCTGTTAGAAATTCTCCACAGAAACACAGTTGCTTTTGGAATCCATTGTCTGGGCAATAGACAAGAAAGTTCATAAAGAGGCCACCTGGCTGTCTGAGGCCAGTGCTCCTCCGTGAGACAGCACCTGCCTGAAGATTGTGACCCAGTGATGGGGAACCATTTAGAGCCGAGTGACAAACTGCAACCCCAAACCTTCTTACTTATTTCAAAATGCCAGCACTGCAGTGAAACCTGAATATCTGACACTCGGCTGCCAGGCGATCTGGCTCACACGCTGACAGAGAGGGCTGTGCCTGCCTGCTGCCGCATGCGTGCGGCAGGTTCGCCACCACTGCTCTAAGCTTTCTCCTGCTGGGGTCTCTCTGGAGTCTGGTGAAACCTATAGATTTTTTCTCACATAATTATTTATAAATACATAAAGTACATAGAATCATTAGGTAGACCAACATAATGGAATATTTTATCAAAATGTTTTTAAAATCATGGTATAGTTGTCTTGACTGCCAGCTCCATGGTGTCCCCTGGGCAGACAGGCACACACTGCTGGCCTGTACTCTAGCTGCCGTCCACCAAAGAACATACAGCATTCTGGAATACGATTTCAATTAAAATGGTATTTTGGGATAACTGCAGCAATTTGAAGGTGATATGAGTATGTGTAGATTTTGTGTCATAAATCAGAGTATGATCAATGTTGCTGATATTAGTTTATTGCATGCTGTTGTAATGGAAGGAAACACTACATTTTGGTTAGAAGTTAGTAAAAATCAATGATATTCTTCTTTCCATCCAAATTTAACATTCCTCTCCATCTGCCCATAGTCTCTAGGGACATGGGGTTAAGACTATCTCTGAAAAAGAGAATGTAAAAAGAGGAGTGGTGGTGGTTAATAATCAGTTATAAAGGCCACGTTTTCCTAACTCTAAGAGGAATGGAAATAATCATTATTAACCATCCATTGCTTGAGTTCTTTCAATGTGTCAGTTATTGTAGTTTTCACACATTTTATTTCACTAAAATCTTTCACCAGTCCTAGAAGGAGGAGCTCGTCTCTTTTTCTTATAGACTCAAAGCTCAGCCAGCTTCAGGAATCTGCCCAATGCCACGTCTTTAGCTAACAAAAAGGCTGATTTACATCCAATCTAGCAGGAGCCCCCTTTCCAGTCCTCCATTCCGCCCTCTGCCCTCCTCTGTCACCCTTGCCGGGGACTGGAGCCTTCTCACCAACGCCCTCTGGTGCCCAGACTCCACCCACAGAGTGGGGGCTCTGACAAACCCTTGTGACTCTGCCATCCCTATCCCAGGGCCTAAATTTGAGTGACTCAAATTTTCCCGTCATTTGTAAATTCTTTAATAGTAGACATTACAGTTGCCCAGAGGAAACAGCTGGCTTGAGTCACTTTATATCCTAGTTAAGTTCTGTTTATAGCCTATACTCTGCATTTGAAATTTCTAGACCTTTGAATTTGGCCAGAAACCCCCTCAAGGACTGTACCAAAACAGCTAATTATTACCTGGCAACATAAAACCAATCCAATTACCGCAGAATCTGAATCACTTGATGGCACACCTGGACTCTTAATGCCAATTTACCAGAGTCACCAAATCTACAGATAACCACCTGCATGAAGGAAATCTCTTGATTGAAATCTAAGAAAATTGATGGAATTTTACCTTCATCATAATTTGATTATCGTGTGTGTGTGAGATCTCTTTGATTATATTTTCTCTGACCCTTACCCAATGTGAGAACAAGTATAGGATTTGGTGCAACTGTTCAGGAGAGCAATTTGGTGATCTGTATCAGAAATCCACAAAGTCTGTAGTCAGCCGAGCATGGCGGCACACCCTGCAATCCCAGCACTTGGGGGCTGAAGCGGGGAGTGATGAGTTGGAGCCCAGCCTGAGCAACTTAGTGACTTAACATGAGTCTGTCTCAAAATAAAAAAAAAAAAATTAGAAAGGCTGAGGATATAGCTCACCTTGAAGGCTTTGAGTTCAATTCCCAGTACCAACATGATTCACACAAAAGGGTTCGTACATCCATTTTAAGCTGGCATTTTTATTTTTAGAAATTTATTTTAAGAAAATCATCAAGGACATTCACAATAGCTCAGCTTCCAGGGATAATTATGGGACTATTGTTCATAATACCATGAAATATGATAAAAATATTTGACAACAAGCAATTGTTTCAATGAAATGTGGTCAATACAATGACACGATAGAAGGTTATTAAATTAGATAAATGATATGTAACATGCTCCATGAAGGAGAAAGTTTTGAAATAGAGAAAAGATGGCTTCTCTCTCCATAGGTATGTGTGTGACTATGTATTTAACATATGGATGAAAGTAAGTTTGATCAGACTGTAGATTATTTTTGTCTTGGTTCATTTTGCTTATTTATATTTTCTGAAGTTTCTAAAACAAATGCTTATTACTATGGAGAGAAAACAAAAATGAGGAAAGAAAGATTCGGTCCTAGAGAAAAGAAAGATTGTGTCCTAGAATCATTCAGGAAGTGTCCACAGTATTTCAAGAAAACTCCCTATGTGAATGAGAAAACCATTGTTCTTGCGCCCAGACAGAGGATTCATTCTATAGTAGACACTGGAGGTAATTACAGCGGCAATTAAGTGGAGGGATGGGACAGGAGGGGCAGGCAGTAACCTCAGGCTAAAAATAATAAGGGAGGCCGTGATTCCTACTGTGTGGAAATACAAGTGGGTGGTGTCTCCTTAGTATAGCTACCTTGTTACAAATATCATCTATGTATTTGTCTATTTTTAAAAATGAAGGTAAGGACATACATTTGCTTTGCACACTGGCCTTTCATCAGGCTTTTTATAATAAAACCTAAATTTTCCATATTTTCATTTTCTGAAGTGAGAGGAGGATTAAAAATGTGTAAAACTTGGCCTAAGTGGCTTGTAGAAATGATCCAATATGTTTTAACATAGAAATTGAGTCACCCACTCTATGCTATTGTCAATTGTTCCTCCTATTAAGAGTAAATATTTGTGTGTGTGTGTGTGTGTGTGTGTGTGTGTGTGTGTGTGAGTACAGGTCAATTTAGATGCTTATTTAAATTACTGCAATGAAAGACTTCCAGATTTTTCTGGAGCTAGATTTCATGTTATTTCTAGGAATTCCCTTGTCCCAATGCACATACACATACTCATACCACACATATATTTCCCTTACTTCAGCATTGAATAAGAATAAATTATTGCTGGGAAACCATGGATGGATTTCGCAAATGATGAGGACCAAATCCATCTCCCCACCCCATTACTGACTATGAGGATCAGTTCCGGACGTAATCCCAAGTGGTGTAGCTGTTCCCTTTATGCAACAGTCACACACTTTTCGTGTAGGAGCCACACTGCGGTCCCTCCACTGTGCTTTTCGCAGTATTTCCATTCCCTAGGTGCATCCTGCAGTTGGAAAACTGTGCCGAGTGTTCCGCTTACTGCTAGTTCTTGCCACCCACCTCTGTTCCATGTGTGCAGATAACCTCGATTCATGTGTGGGGCTTGGAGTCAGCTGCAGTGGTCACTCCTATCTCAGACAGCAGGCGATGCCTAGAAGTGGTTGAAAGGAAAATGAAAGAAGCCAGGGTGGAATCTCTCCAACACCTAGTTCCATATTATCCAAGACAATCCTTTAGTTAAAACTGTTCTAAACTCAACATCAGCTCCCTAAGAATTGCCGACACCTATCAAATTTTTAACTTTTAAAAAATTACTTTCTTTGTGCAATAAAATGGACACAAAACATGTTCAATTTGATGAATTTTCTCACACACTTACACTACGTAACCACCATCTAAATCAAAATACAAGGTACTTCCAGCGCTGGAGGACTCTCACCTGTCCTCTCCCACTCAAACTGCATCTTCCACCCACCACCACACACTCCAGAAGGAACTGCAGTTTTCTGTTACCATAAATTAGTTTTGCCTAACTCTGAATTTTATGTGCATTGCTTTGAGAGCTATGTTCTCTTTTGTGCCTGGTTTTCCACAATGAGCATTATGTTACTGGAGACTAGCTCATGAAATAGCCTGAGGACAATCTGTTAACAAGAGGAACCGAGTATATTCCCAAGGGCAGTCATCAAGACATACTGGTCGGCTGAGCGGGGTCACACACGCCTGTAATTCCAGCACTCAGGAGGCTGAGGCAGAAGGGTTGCTGGGAATTTGAGGCCAGCCTGGGCTACAAAGTGAGCTCAAGGCCAGCCTGAACTGCACAGTGAAACACTGTCTCAAAAAAAAAAAAAAAAAAAAAAAAGTGCTTGTGTCATGAAGGGGGAAAGAAAAGGTTGGATTTGAGATTTTGATCCTGGTTTAATGTGGCTCTTTCAAGGACTGGTAAGGGTTCTAATATGATCACTCAGGGTGGGCAGGGACAGCAAGGTAATGATTTTGAGGTAACTTAGGAAATATGCTTCTATGATCATTTTTGTGTATATGTTTTGCTGCGTATGAAAACCCATTGATGTTTGTTTTTGCGTTGTCGGGGAATCAAACTGCCAATGGAATTACTTTCGTTTCAGTTAGCGTTTTAGAGTCCAGAATTTCCCTCTGGCCTAATACTCCCAGACTTGGCTCATTTCTTCCTGCTGGAGGGCCTGTCAGTCATTCATGGACTCAGCATTTGTGGATTACTCACTGTGTGTCATG